ATGATTTTGTGAATGTGGTTTTACTCTTGCTGCCATCAAAACGTCAGAACAAAAATCAACCAACTATCGTATAAAGGATGTATGCTGACAAGTCAAAACTCATTGCAAAATTTCAAATCCTTATTCCATCAAAACAATAGCAGCCTATTCACTGGAATTTATTCTGAAAGAAAATTAAAGCTTGTTTTTCTTTAACTGCACAATTTAGACTCATTTAAATATTTTCAGGGAACACTCACTATATTTTGTATGAAAATAGCGGTATACCACACACAATTCTTTGCAGAAGATCAACCTTCCCCATTTTCCGGAAGAGTTTTTCCAATGCGGTAACATAAATTCTGCAGTTTTAATTGCTATGTGGTTTTAATCAGCCTCAGTGGACCTTTACGGAGTTCTATCGTGCAGCATCATTTTTAATGGTGTAACAATTGTTACGCTGTACAATCCTTTTTCCTTGGGCATCTACGTCAGTTTCAAAGTTTCATCATAAACAATACTATCATCTTACTAGTAAACCCTTACACAAATCCAGGATAATTTCCTTCCAGTAAATTCCCTGAAGAGAAACTGCTAGGTCACTTAAGGGTTTACCAGACTTCCCTCTAAATGTCCTGCACCAATTGACACTCTGTCCACAGTCCTTGAGAGAGCCATTTCCCTCATGAAAGTATTTGTGTTCCTGACCTTGCAATAAGTAAGTAGCTGTCTGACGTCTTCCATCCTGGCTTATTAAGAGTTGATGAGTCTACATTATAACACTAACAAGCATTTCTACTATACTGTTACTGAATTCGGGAGCTCTGGTGGCGTAGTGCCTAAAGCATGTGACCGCTAACTAGAAGACTGGCGGTTCAAACTCAGCAGCCACTCCTCGGAAGGAAGGTGGGGAATCTAGTTCCATAGGGATACCGCCTCGGAATCCCAAGGAGGGGTTGCTATGAGTCGGACCCAACTCAATGGCAGTGTGTTTTTTTGTTTGTTTTTTGGTTTGTTACCGAATTTGAGACATAATGGCAAACAATATATACACATATATACAGAAGGCCTGAATTAAGATTGATGTGTGCCATTAAACATCTTGGGAAATTCACAAGAACTCATCGTGATAAGCAACTACTCATTTCCTTGGGTTGCTAAACTATCAATACCGCTAACATGTGCCACAGACATTTCTGACCAACCTTAGGGATCCCTACTCCATCATCTAATAACCACATTTTTCCCCCAAAATTCACACTGACACAAATATAAAATACCATACAGGCTAAGGATTTAAATTCTAATAATTAAAGCACTAAAAGAAAACAAAGGAAAAGGCTTTGCATGAGGGAGGAAAGGCGTTGGTGGACACAGTGTAAGAGGGTCACCAAGGGTCTGACAGAGTGAAAATCAGCCAAGGGATCCTTCGCTATGTGCTACATGCTGCCACCTAACAAGCCCTTACACGTCAATACGAAAAAGGCAAAAAGCCTCTGGAAAAAAAGGTAAAGGGTCTGAGAAGTCAAGTCACAAAGAGGGGAAAGCCAACAAATACATGGATAGGCGCTCCATTTCCCTCACAAAGGAATGCCAAATAAAATCCTGAGGTGTACCTGCTGGCAAACAACATTGCCAAAGACCTACAGAGACCCACAGTCAAATGCTGCACAGGGTGCACCTGCACACATCGCTGTGGAACCTTTCTGCAGGGCAACAGCACGCAGCATCAAAAGGTTAAGTCCAGGCACACACCCTCTAACCCAGGAATTCCACTTCTAGACATTTAGCCTAAGGAACCAAACAAGCGTAAACCAAACCAAAGGCACTGCCGTGGAGTCCATCCGACTCATAGCGACCTCCACTGGGTTTCCGAGGTGGAAAATCTTTATGGAAGTAGATTGCCCCGTCGTCCTTCTGCGGAGCAGCTGGTGGATTTGAACTGCCAATCTCCTGGTTAGCAGTCAAACGCTTTAGGCACCACACCATCAGAGCTCCTTAAAACAAGTACACAAAGATATAAAAACAGAAAATGCTAACTACAGAATATTCTAGAAGTTTATCCTAAGGAAATACAACAAGTACACAGAGATACAAAAAACAGAAAACTCTAACTACAGAATATTCTATAATGGCAAAAAAGTAAAATTTATTCAATTATGATCGTTCACGATGAGATAATATACAAAAGTTCAAAGGATTAGATCCATAAGCATTATTAATTGATAGGTGAAAATGTATCTCTAAACTTTGAAATAGTATTCATTAACTCGTAAGTAGTCATTAACTCTTAAATGCTTAGACAGCACAACTCAAAAACTGGTTATCTAGTGGAGAAATCTTATAGTGGGGCTGACTTTTCTCGCTACACTTCCATGTGTGAGAACATTTACAAGAAGCACAGATCATTTTATTCCATTCTTTTACAGCTTTTGGGATATAATTGATACAAATTATATAATCTGGTAAATTCTGCATATTAACAATTTGGTAAGTTCTGACATCCATGAAATCATCACTAAATCAAGGTAAAGGAAATAACCTACCCCCACCATGTCCTGAAATTACTATTACTACTTCAGTAATTAAAACTACCATTTCCATTTTGTGGAGGAAAAAAATCATGCTATATAGGTTTATGTGAGGTTAATGACTGAGTTCTTAATCTTAACTATTCTTCTAATATACTAAAATCGGTGTGATGTGCAGCAATTAAGCTTTTTCCAGAGTTACTATTTTAACAAGCTGCTTTTTATTTGGGTGGGATATTTACTGGGAAAAAATATTCACAATACATGTATCTAAAAAAAGACATGAATCTAAAATATATAAAACTAAAACTCACTGTTGTCAACTCAGATCTGTATAGAGAACTCTTATAAAATAACAAGACAATCTCACTTTTAAAATAAGCCAAAAAAATGTGAAGCACTTCACAAAATATACTAATGGCCAACAAGTACAAGCAAAGATGCTCACCATCATTGTTCTTCAGGGATGCACAAATTAAAGCCAAACACACACTCAAGTGGGGGTGTAAAATGCACCATCACTCTGGAGAAGTTTTTGGTAATTGCTTACCAGTTAAAACAAATACACACTATGGTCCAGTATTCCTATTCCTAGGTACTCAACCAAGAGAGATGAAAATATATACCCATAAAAGAGGCTTGTACCCAAATATTCACACCAGCTTCATTTAAACAGCACAAAACTGGAAACAACCCAAATATCAAAAATGAACAAATTGTGCTATATTCATACAATATACAACAACCTACTCTACAATGCTAAAGGTAACTGGTAACAAGCCTTTACAAATCTATATATATATATATATATATATATATATATATATAGGCGAAGGATACAAAAAGGCAATTCACAAACCTTAAAAAAAATAAAAAGACAACAAGCATACCCACTACATGAGCAAATCTCAAAACCATGCTGAGCAGAAAATGAGAACATCCTGCCTGATTGAGTTTACTCTGGAACCAGTGATATGCAGGGACAGGGCAGGTCAACGGCTGCTGGGACACGGGTGGCAGGGACCGACTGGGAAGGGGGCTGGGTGGGAACGTTCTCTACCTTGGTGGTGGTAGCTGCATGGGTTTAAACATTTGTCAACCTGCCTCCATAAAGATTAGACCCAAGAAACCCTATTGGAGTAGTCCTACTCTAACAAATGGGAATGCCATGAGCGAACCAACTCCACAGCAATGAGGGTAGTTTCCGGTTTGCCATCTGATAAAAGGTCCACGGAAATGGCGAACGTCAACACAAACTGATCCTGGCCTGTTAACAACCACGGTGAGAATGAAGACTTGAGCGTTCTGAGAGAAGTCAGGAAAATCACCAGCAAGTTTATGGATAAATGCCCTGCCCCCTAGATCTGCTTTGAAGAAAGTATCCCACGAGAAGTGGGCAGAAGGCAATACACTGACTGTGCTGCTAACTACAGACAGCAGGTGATGGACACCCTACTTCTGTGCATGTCTGAAATCTTCCATAATAAGAAGGTTTAAGGAAACGACAAGAAAGACGTGGTGGTGTGGAAAAGAGAGGACATGAAGACGACGGAGAGTGAGACCGCTCCAGTCCCAAAACTGCAGTCCACACTCCCCACTGGGCCTCTAACTCTCCACGCTGTTTAAACGAGGAGAGTGCTGAGAAGGGGAGGCTGGTGTCCCCATGCCCTGCACACCCTCTCACTGCCCCTTCAATCACCTGACCACTGCCCTCGAGTCCTGCCGCGGGGGGCTCACAGACAGACGGACATCAGCCCACGGAGGCCGGCACCAACAAGACAGTCATTCCCATACCAGCTCCTTCCCTGCGCCAGGACCTGGTGTGCGGGTTCATCACTGTGCAAGACTCGGACACCCTGGGCAACGGAGGAGCGTTGTGAGGGTTAAACAAAAAATGCTTCCGCAGGACCAGAAAGCACTATTTCACAGACCACGCTCAAGCCCACCTCCCAAACCTAGAGACCCGGGGAAGCCCCGCCCACTACCGGCTAAACTGCTTCGGTCCCGCCCCCCGCGCAGTACCTTGACGTCACAGGCCCGCCCACTCACTGCTGCTTGAGTTCAATTCATCACGCCCGACGTTATAACCCACCCACTTCACTGCAGTCCACTCACTTTAGCACCCGCCCACTGCCGCACTGCAGCCCAGACCCAACTTTACTCCGCCTTCTGTCGCGCCCAGCCCCCTGCCATTATCCCCACCCACTTCAATACAGTCCAAACACACCTTCGCCACACCCACCGCCGCACTGCGGCCCAGAACTTCGCCCCACCCCATGTCTCACCACGCCTCCTGACGTCATTACCCCGCCCCACTCCCATTGCAGCCCAGGTTCACGAGCCCACCCATCCCGCCGAACCCTAAACCAACTCCACCCACACCCTGCCCCATGACGTCACGGCCGCGCCCGCGCAGGTCCCGCCTCGTGCAGGTCCGCCTCGCCCCCGCCCCCACCAGCCGCCCCTGCCCCAGGCCGCTTGACTCCTCACCAGCTCGAACCGGTTATTGACGCGGACGCCCTCCTTCCCTGTGCTCCGGGGGCGGCGACCAGCTGGCCCCCGTTTCGGCCCCTCTTCTTCTGCGTCATCATCTTCCTGAAGGACAAATTGCAGGGCGCCAGGCCCCAGAGGCTCCTGGCCGCGCTGTTTACCCTTCAGCCTCCGGAGGGCCCGGCGTGACATGGGGCCCAACGGCTATTGACGTCTGCAGAGAAGGAGAAGGGAGAGCTCAGAAACAGCTGCGACGCGCCTGCGCACTTTCGGCCCGCTGGTGAGAGGCTGGCGTGTCGCGTCTGCGCAGTGCGGCTCCTAGAGTTTCTTACGTCACCGGGGGCGTCGCTGGTGGAGGCGCAAAGCGAGCTCTCGCGATAGTCGAGCGCCCCCTCGCGGCCGTGACTGCAGGAACGCGTGATGGTTTCCCCGGTATTCTCGAGCATTCCGACACATGATTGATGGGTTGGGATGGGAAACGGGAGACCCATGACTTAGACCTTGGTTCTCAGAGCTTATCGCGTGGCAAGGGAGGGGGGCGCAGAGGTGGAAGGTCCGCCGGTGACAGGAGGGGGCGGCGTGGAGGGTCTTCATTCCCGCGCTGCACGTCCCACTGTGGGAGTTGGCAGGTGTAACTCTTCACAACTTGACACCATGGCTACAAAATGTGACATTTCCCCCTTTGCCAGAAAAAAAAAAAAAAAAAAAAGCCCACAGAAAAAAAAAAACAAAAAAAAACAAACAACTGTGCGGTTGGCCCTGTCTCACGGTGACCCCACGCGACAGAGTGGAACTGAATAGAATGTTCCTCGCGGTAATCTTTACAGAGCACAGCACGGGGCCTCTTCACAGTGCTGCTGGCTAGGTTCGGACCGAATCACAGCCTTTCCCTGAGAGAGTGCACAGTATTCATTAGGAGATGCACATTGTTTCATTAAAGGAAGGCACAGTGTTCTTTGGAGACTTTCTCAAGGTTCCTTCCAATGAGATAAGGGGAGTGAAAATGTAACTTTTAGGAAACACAGATGCCCAGGAGGTTTGCAAACACTGGTGGAAGGTCACCTACCACTGATTATCAGTTGCTGACCCAGCAACAGCCTAAATCTAGGTAAAAGGGGATATGCGCATAGTAAACCACATACCCCTGGGTGGAGATTTAATATTATGATGATACACACTAAGGGTCGCCATCGTTGTATCCCTCACTGTGCATGTTTAACCTGAACTGGTATGAAATTATACATGGAACATGACTATGGCATAATCTCCAACCTTTAAAAGCAGCTTAGCAGTTGAAGGCAGATAAAATCTGAGGGATCTCCCTCTCTGTGTCAGGTTGTGCACAAACTTAATAAAAGCTGTGCTTCTTACTGTTCACTTTGCTGTGTCTTTATTGATTTAATTCACTCTGAATTTTGCAGGTAGCAGAACCGCCAACCTTTAGGTTAGTCCAAAACCAAAAACCCAAACCCACTGCCATTGAGTGATTCCAACTCACAGCAACCCCCACTGTAGATTGTCTCATCTTCCTCTCATGGAGCAACTGGTGGGTTTGAACCCCATCCTTCTGGTTAGCACCCAAATGCTTTACCCACTATACCACCAGAACTCCAATTTTTTTGTTTTTGTTTTTAAACATTGGAACTCTTCCAAATCAGACTTCTGGACCCCAACCAGTATCAAAGGACTCCCAACCTTCAGAGCAGCAGGTCCTGGGAGTTTGCTTGGTGTATCTTTGTTATGTCAATGAAGCAGGATTAGTGTAGAGTGTATCTTGAATCCATCTCTTTTGAGATAGAAGAAATTCAAGCCAGATTCAGAAGAAGACATGAAATAAGAAATATCATTGCCAATGTCAGATGGATTTTGGCTGAAAGCAAAGAATACCAGAAAGATGTTTTCCTATGTTGTATTGACTTATGCAAAGGCATGTGATTGTGTGTATCATAACAAATTATGGATAACATTGTGAAGAAAGGGAATTCCAGAACACATAATTGTGCTCATGAGGAACCTGGACACAGACCAAGAGGCAGTCATTCAAACAGCACAAGGTCATACTGTGTGGTTTAAAATCAAGAAAGGTGTGCATCAGGGTTGTATCCTTTGACCACACTTATTCAATCTGTATGCCGAGCAAATTATGGAATAAGCTGGACTATATGAAGAAGAATGTGGCATCAGGATTGAAGGAAGACTCATCTGTCTTAGAAGAAGTGCAGCTGGAATGCTCCTTGGAAGTGAGAATGGCCAGACTTCATCTCACATGCTTTGCTTATGCCATCAGACGAGACCAGTCCCTGGAGAAAGATATCATGCTTGGTGAAGTAGAGGGTTAGTGAAAAGGGTAAGATCCTCAATGAGATGGATTGACAGTGTCTACAACGATGGGCTCAAGGATAGCAAAGATTTTGAGGATGGCTCAGGACCAGGGAGTGCTCCGTTCTATTGTACATAGGGCTGCTAGGAGTTGGAACTGATCCACAGCCCCTTAACTACAACAGCAGCAGCAAGCAAAGATGGCGAAAGAGAGATGCCAAGCCACCTGGTGGCTGTCCAGGAGCAGAACCTCAGACGACATGAAGATCTTCCTCCACAGCTGACAGGAAGCCTTCGCCTAGAGTCAGAACCCTCAAACTTCTAGCCTCCTAAACTACAAGAAAATAAATTTGTTTCTTAAAGCCACCTACTTGTGGTATTTCTGTTACAGCAGCAGATTACTAAGTGTGGAGACCAGTGGTCTAAGGTAGGGGCTTTTAACCTTCACAGCATCACAGCCTCCTGGAGACCTACTTTAGTTCTAGAAATGTTCACTTCCATAGCTTCCTCATGCACATCTGAGTCCCCCGTGGTGGTCTGGGCTCCACCTGGAAAATCTGTGTATCTTTGGCCACATTCCTTCCCCTCTCTGGGCTTCGATTTCCCCACCTTTCAGATGGAATGAAGATAGCTTACTCCTGCATACAGTGCAGAGCCGGAGCCTGGGAGCAGCCCCTACAGGCCCTCTGTTTCCCTGAGGAGCAGGCGGACCCCAGCAACAGTCCCCCAGTGAGCAGTTACAGGGATCAGGGGAACAAGGCTGGCAGTGTGGCTAGAGTAGGCCCTAGGCAGTGGCCAGAGCTGCTGTCCTGATACAGCCCTGCCATCTTCAGTGCTGAGGCTGGGTCAGCATCACGAACTTGGTCGAGAGGAGACGGCCTGGGTGCCCTGCATCCCTGACCAGCAATGGGCTGGGAGGATTTCCCCGTCTTGGCAGGCAGACAGCCTCACGAGCCCAGCTTTCACCTTTGGGGACTATGTCTCCTGCTACAGGTGCCAAGGAAGACTATACCACACTTCAGGTCACAGCCCAGACGAGCAACTGTGAGACCACCTTTATTAGGCCAGAGTGGCCACGTGTACACAGACCTGCAGCCCTCCTATACCAGGACCTCCCAGCACCTCAAGGCCTTCCTGGGCTCAGAGCGCAGACTGATGAAGGGGCATACACCCGCTATGGGGGCTGAGGATGAGCAGGGATGGGCCAGGGTACATGTAGACAGCAGGCTAGGAGAGTGGGTATGGCCAAGCCTCAGTCCCTGAGGTGCAGAGTGGGTGGACGTCTGAGCCCAAGACTGTCGGGGAGAGAAGCTGGATGCAGAGTGCCTGGGCCCTTTCGCACCCTGGATGGCCACCTAGGGAGCATCCCAGGAGGATGGGAATGCAACGAGCGCTGAGTGGGGTGGGGTCTTACCCACGGCCCCATCTAAAATCCCCCCTCCACCCAAGACCTCCATGAAGGGATCCTGAGAGGAAATGGCCTCCTCCAGGGAGGGTCCTGAAGGGGTCAGGAACTGTATATATAAATATAGAGGCTGTGACTATAGTATATAAATGTGTCTATATATGTATATATGTACATGCACAGCCAGGGGTGGGGGCCTGCAAAGCCTCCAGCAGAGGGCAGTCACTGGAAGTCCAGAGTCCGGGTGGAGGGGATGTAGAGGGACTGGGTCTGGCGGGCACGGCGTGGTGTGGTGTTGAGGACGTCCACGCTCTTGCGGCTGGAGCGGACCACGTCGGCCACGAAACTGGTGCAGTCACTGCAGACACCCCTCAGAACACAGCCATGGGCATAGATGTGGGGGAACTCCTCCTCCACGCCCCGCCACTGGGGCCCCTGCAGGGACCTGGGAACAGAAGGTCAGCTCAGCAGAAGGACCCCCTCCTGGGCCCATGGACTGCGGCCCCTTCCCCACCCTTCCCCAGCCCCTTCCCCCCTCTCTCCACCAGACCCTTTCTCCCTTCTTCCCAGCCCTTTTCCCAGAGCACAGACCGAGAGCAGACGTAAACACACATCTCTGGGAGGAACAAACAAGCCCAATAAAGGCTCCTCAGCAGGAATGTGGGTCCCCCAAACACCCACACACAGCTTCCGTCTCAACTACCAGGCGATGATCTGTGTCCCACGGCCACTCGGCTTCCCATAGCCTGGGGGTGCCCAGCCATAGAGACCCAGCTGACCCCACCACCAGCACCCACAGTTCTATGCAGGCCATCACCACATCACATCACAGTGACACAGCCACAAGGCCAAGGAAACTCACTGGAAGATGTCTTTTCTCTGGCCCAGGGTGGCTCTGGCACTTGACGGCCTCTGCGGACTCTCAAAGCCCAGAGTATACACAGGGATGTGTGCAAACTTCTTAGAAGGCATTTTCATCTGCAGTGCAGAGGGAGACATGAGTGAGGCCGTGCAGGGGACAGGCAACCCCACAGCCAGCTGGGGAACTGCACTGAATGGGGCACGCCCCACGGGGCATGAGTGGCAGCAGCAACCAGCTGGAGAGGCCCACCTGCCCCCACACCTCTCCTCGGTGGCTGAGGCCCAGCACGGGTCTTTGGTTCACTACATGCCCGGTATGTTTTCCACTCATTCAGATGGGACGTCTTGAGGGCAGGGGTGTACAGCCTTTTTATGCCACACGGGACCTAGCATCAAGCCCTGCATACAGTCAGCGTTGAATGCTGAGGAGATGAAAGGATTCCACTGCCAAGTGGCAGGATGGAGAGCAAAGGGTTAAAACTAAGTGGTGGGAAGAGCTCCCTCTGGAGACCCTTGTTTCTGAGTGGAGGTGTAGAAGTGTGACTTCCAAATGCTGTTTATCTATTATCCCTTCACCATCACGTCTGCTGTGAGGTCTGGGCCCGCCCGCTGTCACGCAGCCACGTGTCTGCTGTGAGGTCTCTCCAGAAACACTAAGGAATGTACACCGTGTCACAGGGCAGCGCTTTCGGAGGGAAGTGAAGGGTTTTGGGCACCAGCCTATAGACATGGAACTTTTTCTAAAAAAGACCACCTACAAAACTGCATAGTCTTGGGAGGTTTACGAATGGATTCTTCCTGGCGGAGGAAATTGGGTGAGGTGACTGCAGGGTCGTCCAATGGGAGAGAGTGGAGCCCCCATTCCCCCCAGCCACCACCCCTGGAACCCCCAATCAGGCCACACTCAGACCCCAAGGACACAGCCTCACCTTTATGCTACAGGAGGAGCAGACAGCTCTGGAAGGGAGAGAAACAGGAAAACCACGTCAGCTCTGAGAAGGGCAGCAAGTGCCTCCGAGCACCACACACGTCCCAGGCCAAGCTGTCTGCCTTTCACGGACCCTGTTTACTGTGCTTTCATCTTACGTTACCTCTCTACCCCAAACGCTCCTGTATGGTGCAGCTCGGCACCGTGTGGCCTGGAGTTCTCTCACACCCTCCCCACTTGTGTGTGCACCTCACTTCTCTCCATCCGAGCTGCACAGGCCTCAAATGAGGTGCTCAGGTTTAAGTAGCTATGAACAATTTTTTTATTCCCCATGCCTGATTTCAAAAGCAAATGCCTGCTTGCTATGAAAAACTCAAACATTTGGAAAAAAAATCCTAATTTAGTGAGAGAGGCCCTCTCTTGTCAAACCCTTCTTCAGGTATGGCCCTGCTGGCATGCGGTTTCTGTCCCCCAGGGGTCCTCTACGCCTATGTTAACAAAAATACCACTTTAAAAATAAGATGGAGTGTCATGCCTATGATGCTATGACAACACACCAGGGTGGTTCTCTGCATGAGCACAACGGTTTACGTTCATTTTAACAAGGAGCTGTGTTCTGCTGCATGGAAGCTCCCTCTACGAAGCCCTGGAGTCTGCAGAGCACTGGATGGGGCCCCGTGGACCTCTGGTTTCTTCTCGCACTTCTCTCTTCCCTGGAACTCTACCCCGCAAGCTCCAGGACCAGGTCTTCCAGGACCCTGAGCTTTACCTCCTCAATTGGGAGCCCAACAGGCTCTGCCGGGCTACCTTCCTTGGGTTGGGGCCTGGAAATTCCCGCCAGCCTGTCACTGGCACAGTCGTAAGCTCACCCCTTTTATTTTCCATTTGCTGCCTGATGCCCAAGGTCTTAAATCACTGCCTGACATCATTTGTCTGGTGTGTGTTGTGGCTTCAGGAGGGATGATAAATCTGGTGCTGTTACCCTGTCTTGACTGAAAGCAGAAGTCCCTTAGCCATTTAAATCTAAGTTAAATTAAATTAAAAATTTGGTTCCTCAGTTGCATCGGCCATAGTTGAAGGACAACAGCCAGGGTGCAAAACAATGTCTCACTGTCACAGAAAGTTCTACCGGACATCTCTGGCCCGAGGCATCTCACCTCCTCCGCCCACCTGTACTAATTCACAACCAAGGCACCAACAGAAAGGCTTACCTCTTGCAAAAGAGACAGGTAGGTGGCCAGGAGAACAGTGGGAACTTGATTCGACAGCAGCAGCAAATCTGTGGGAACAGCCTGGGTAAGGCCTAGCTTTGTCCAAAGCTTGCTGCCCCTCTCCCATCTTCACCTGTGCCTCCCTCTGCCCAGTGGGGGCAGTCCAAGGTCCCCCCATCCGCATCTGCTCTCCACAACTCCCACCCAGTAAGGGGCAGTCCTGAGGCCCCTCTTGTCCTCACCTGTGCCCCCTGCCCAGTGAAGGGCAGTCTTGCGGTCCCTCCTCATCCTCTCTTGCCCCTCACAGCCCCTGCCCAATGAAGGGGCAGCCTGGACATGCCCCTTACCTTCCCCTTCTTCAGATTGCTGTAGAGCTCCTTGTTCTGCAGGAACTTCTCCATCTCGGCCTTTACCAGCACTCGGCGCACGTCCATCACCTCCTCCACGGTCAGTGCCAGGCTCTCCACAGGGTGGCTGAACTCCTAGGGCAGGAGAGTCAAGATCATTGTTCGCTCAGGACCTCAGGGACGAGGCCACTCAGGCAGGAGCCTGGCCTAAGTGTCTCTCTTTACTGAGGACCCTCACGCCCTGCTGCTTTGATCCAAGTTTAGCTCAGGCACTTCCTAAACTGGCTGTCATCAGCTTGACCTGCCCTGGAGCCCAAGGCATCCCTTTCTTTCAGTACCAAGTCCTGCTATTGCAGGATAAGGAAGCCAGCAGCCCCGCCCACCCCTCTACCCACACTAGGGCCCCACCCACTCCTCCAGCTCCACCCACATCAGGGCCCCACCCGCCACTCAAGCTCCACCCACCCCAGGGCCCTGCCCACAACAAGCTGTGGAATCTGGACAGGGTCTTCAGGTCCACCTCACACCTTCCTTCCTGAACCTTTTCCTGGTGACTTCACCACTGAGGAAGGAGCTCCTGTGGCATAGCGGGTAATGCATTTGACTGCTTAACCAGAAGATCAGCAGTTCAAACCCTCCAGCTGCTCCATGGAATGAAGATGGGACAATCTACTTCCGTAAAGATGTACAGCCTTGGAAATCCAATGGAAGTCACTATGAATCGGAATTGACTGATAGCAGTGGGTTTTTTTGGTTTACCACTGAGTTCTCTCCTTCTGAGCAGCCAATCCCCACTGAAAGGTCCTTGGAGCCCTGAGTGACCACCACCCACCTGGAACACACCTACACTCTACACCATGAGCCTCTACACCATGAGTGCCCAGCTGGCACTCAACATGTCCCCACATGTCACTGCCACCTGCTTCTCCAGGCAGCTATTGTATGAGCATGTCCTGTTGAGCCTACGGTGCTGAGCACAGAACTTGACCCTCACCCTCTGAGCCTCAGTTTGTCCTCTGTAAAATGGGGCTCCATTTCACCTCCACTGCAATAAGACACAATGACTGGCACAAAGAGGTCAAAACTGTTGGCTACTGTTACTGAGGGAAGGAGGAGCAAGGAGGTCACCAGCCCAGGGGGTGACACAAAGAAGGAAGCTGAATCATGATTTTTGTCTCACGTTTGCACTAGGTTTTCCTACTTAGGGTTCACATCAGGGGAGAGTCAGACACTCTGCCCTCAGTGCCCACTACCACTCGCTGGAGTATTGCGTAACTTGAACAATCGTTATCTATGGCTGTATAACAAACCAGCACATCCAAGAGCGACGGGAAGCCTGCTTCCAAGTCGGGCAATCAATCAGTCCCTGAGTTTCCCTCGGCCCCTCACACACCCCTTACACATGGTACATTTTCAACAAGTGTGGACTGAACCAGGGTGGAGACAGAGAAGAAAATCCCTGGGGTTCTGTGATGATCAAAATGATCTCAGGAAACACTTCTGAGGTCTGACAGCTGAAGAAAACAGGTAGGGGACTTGCAGTCATTTTAAACATTTAAGTCATTTTAAAACACATCCACTAGTTCCTTGACATTCCTCCCTGAACTCCCCTCCCCTCCCCTCGGGAATGGGAATATTAATAATTACTATTATATAGCCTTTCCCAACCGTCATGTGCCTCCCACACAGTGATTGGGTGGGACTATGCAAATAAGGTGTTTGTGGCCCACCAAGGGGATTGGACAGCTGGCTAATGAAATAAGAGACACGGAAGGAACCCTTGCAGGGGTGGGACTATGCAAATAAGGTACATGGAACCCTTGGAGGGGAATGGTTAGTTGTTGGAGGGGAACGGTTAGTAGTTAGTACGCCCTGAAACTGATAGGGAGCTTGCTACATAACTGGCTTCCTGACAGAGGTTTGAGAGAGGGAGACAGAGAGAGAAAGAAGGGGCTGTAGCACAGAGGACTGTGAAGGACCCCAAGAGACGTCACCACAAAGGCAGCAGCCGCATGAGCAGCAGGAGCCAGGAGGCAGCACGCGGCAGCTGTGGTGGGCTGCCTGGCCCGCAGCGTGAGGCAGCAGCAGGGCCTGAGCAAGGCCTTGTGGCAGCAGACTGAGAAGCAGCAGTCCTGATAAAGAACCATACCCTGAGCTGTTCCAAGTTGGTCCTGATCCTGAGCTGTAACTGCGACTTCCCTGATAAACCCTGTGGTCCTAAGTACAGTTTGTGAGTTCTGTGAGACACTGCAGTAAACCACAACCCCAACGATGGGAGAGAGTCCTGAGGGGAGGAGAGGAGTCGCTGTTACACACAACGGAGAGGGACAGCCGTTTGGAGGAGCTGGACACTAGGGACCTTTCACGTTCTGCCTCGTAGGAACCAGTTTTGTGCTGATCCTTAGAAATTATTCATGTAGAACATGCGTGAGTATGGCAGGACCACCCAGCTGAGCCGCTCCCAATCCACAGGAACTGGTGAGGCATGTTTGTTGTCTGAAGCTGCTAGGTTTGGGGTGTTGTACAGCCATAGATAACGAGCACAGAACTCAAAGGTTCAAGCATAACGCTACCTTCTGTCTATAAAGCTCTTGCACTTCTCAAAGCATTTTCATATCTGTTCTCACTTGAGCCTTTGGATAAAACCTCAAGGAAACAAGGACACGAGACTACACCTCTGACCACCTCCACAGCCCTGCGGATGCCCTGAGGTTCGTGGCACACTTTTGCCCTAAAGATTGCATTAAGAAAATCATTCAATGAGATCCAGTCCAAGCGGCGGAGGAGGGGACTCAAATATCATGGGTTAAAAAAAAAAAACCACTGCCCTCAAATTGATTCCAACTCATAGCGACCTTATAGGACAGGTAAGAACTGCCCCAGAGCTTCCAAGGCATCAATGTTTACAGAAGCAGACTCCCATATCTTTCTTCCACAAAATAGCTGGTGGGTTCGAATTGCTTTGGTTAGCAATGGAATGCTTTAAGCCCTGTGCCACCACAGGTCCTCTGCAAGTGTTAGACATTGACAGTTACAAGGCAGACCAAACTCACAGCTGAGAAAGCCAGGGGCACAGAGGTTACGTTACACAGTGGCAGCAGGACCAGGGGGCCAAGGTCTCTCGACCCACCAAGTCACACAGGCATGGTGTTTGTTACCTGCCTCAGCGCCACAGGGGCTCTGGGGACCCCACAGGCAGTTCAAAGGCTGTTCCTCTGGCTCAGGCCGCAGTGCTGAAACTCCCCAGCAGGAGGCAGCGTAAGCCAGCCTTCCTGCCATAAGAGCTGACCCATCAGCTCTGAGACAAACCATACCAGCCACCCCTGAAGGAGCTGGGTGTCCTGGGGCTCAACAGAGCCCCTACCCCGCCCCCTAGGCTGCCATAGAGAAAGCCCTGCTCTGGACAACTTAGCCAGGCCCTTGAGACACGTGCCTCACTCACCAGCCACAGGTGCTTGGCCTGGCTGTCCTGGGCCCCCGCAGCCTCAGGCCTCTCCTCCACTGTACCCAGGCCACTGAGTGGGGCTGTGGCAGGGGCAGGGGCAGGCCGGGCCTGGACGCTCACAGGGAAGGAACCTGCAAGACAGCACGGAGGACCGTCAGGACATAGACACGCTGTGTCAGCCCACCTGCTTTGTCATGGGCAATCATCCTCCACTCACAGTGCAGGATAGAAAGAGTCTGTACCTACCTGTCTGTATCTGCCTACCTATGGAGCCCCTGAGGTGCACGAGGCTAATGTGCTCAAATGCTGGGTTCAAGTCGACCCACAAGGGCCTCAGAAGAAAGTCTAGCAGTGTACTCATGAAAAATCAGCCCTGAAAACCGTGCAGGGCACAGCTGTACCCTGACACACATGGGGCGTCCATGAGTTGGGGCAGACTGGACAGCAACTGGCAAAATCCGCCTGTCTGTCCATCTGCCTATCTGTCTATCTCCCAGTGCATTAATAGCAATTATCTCTAATAATATGGGGAGTTATTTTCTTTTGTTTTATTTACAAGTTGTCTTATAATAGTAAGAATTATTAATACCAAAACTTCCTCGTAAGGAAAAGGGGGATGGCTGCTTCCTGAGGTTGTGAGGGTGTGGTCTGGGGCCCCAGTGCCACACGCTCAGCACGGACAGACGGAGCAGGCAGGGTGGAGGGAAGGGCTGTGGCGGGTGCAGCACTTGCCCCGGTCCGGGGCACTGGGCCTCCAGGTGTGCATGCTGCCTGCTCGGGGCCGGGCTGACGGTTTTGTCCCTGATGAAGTCTCAGAGGCTGGCAGGCCCGAAGCCATCTCACTCCGGAGCTGGGCCAGGTCTTGTTCCGAGAAGGAGCGGTCCCGCTTCAGGGTCGTCTCCCCACACGGAGACTCCTCCTCCTGCAGAGATACGGAGCCTTGACCCCTCCTACCCCCCCCATCAGCTCTGCCCCAGACCCAGGTCCAGGGACCCAGGGGACCCATAGGGACCCAGGCAATAGGCCTTGAGAAACAGACCCTTCCCCGAGGCTTTCTGGAAAATGTGGAGAGAAGAGGCTTAGCGTCAGATGGAGGCTGAGCCTGTTGGAACAGCTGTCAGCCAAGGCCGTCATCATGGTCACACTGGTCGGAAGGGGCGGGGCAGCATAGGGGACCACTCTGGCTGGGGCTGGGCTGGGCTGGGGTGCATGCCTCCTCAGACTGGCCAGGACTGCCAGGTTCCTGGCCTCAGAGACAGCTCACTTGCATCACCTCCACGAGAGCTCTTTCCTGCTGGGGAAGGGGGACCCTGCCCCAAGCTCTGCTCAGCCTTGGTCCTCTTCTACCCCCACCCCATCTCTTCTCAGAGGGCTCTGACCTCTGACGTGGTCATCTCCTCCATCTCGGCTAAGGTGGGCGCCTTGAGCAGGACCCGGGGTCGTGGGTGCTGGGTGCTGCTCCCGGCATCCGAGACAGAAAGGTTGATGCAGGAAGTGGACTTAACATCCCCGGAGCAGGCATTGAGGATACAGGGCAGAGAGCCAAACCCTGGAGGGGAAGGGGGAGGCAGCGAGCATGGAGAAGTGGGCAGCGAGCACATAGTGGGGCAGTGAGCAGGGCTGAGTGTGGGGACGGTGAGCATGCAGGGTGGGGGCGGGCCCTCACGGCGGGTGTCCCAGGGCGAGCTGCCCACTGGCCGCAGCTTCCTCTCCTGCTTGATCTCCTCCAGGATCTTCTCGTGCAAAGTCCTCTGCTTCTGCGGTAGTGGGCGCAGCCTCCTTTCCGAGACCTGCAGGGAAGGTAGCGCATGTTGTCAGAGGGGGCTGTGACACGGAGTGGGGAAGAGGTTGCCAAGGGGGGCCAGTTGAGGTCAGGAGCCCCAGAGGACCCCTAAGGAGCAGGCAGAGCTGGCTGAGCCACAGGGGCTCCATGTGGGTGGGGGTGGCCAAGGTGGCAACAGCTGGTCCCTCCCAGAGGAGGAGTCCCTGGCTGTGGCCAGTGCCTGATACTCCACATCTGTGAACAAGAGGGGGCTGAACAATTCACTGGTGATGCCTTCTGGTGCGCTATGGAGGAGCAGGAAGTGGGGAAGGAAGGCTGGCCAGTACCTGCTTCAGTGGTGGCCGCGAGCGGATAAAGTCCAGGATGATCTCATGGGCGTCCTTCTTCACCCTGGGAGGGATGTCCCCATCGACCTGTGGGGAGGCGGCTGAGGATTACCCCATGACCTGCAGAGTGGAGTCTGCAGGCTCATGCGCTTTTGGACTCCGCCTGGCCCCAACCTGGCCTCCCACTCTTGAGCTCTGCCCAGAACCTTGCTTCCTCCTCGGACCAGTGCATGGCTCTGCAGTGGTGACTATGCTCAAGGTTGGCACCATCACTGGCCAGGCTGCCTAACTCTCCTGCGCTCCAGGGTCTTCATCTGGACGTGGGTCAAGAGCACCCACTCATATGCTAAGAATTATGGGACAAAGCCCTGCTAGAAACTTAATCTCCATCTTAGAAACTAAGGGCAGCACATGCACAGCAACCGAATTTCTTGATCAGCAGAGCTGGAAACACAGTGCCCCACTCAAAGATGGTGGCCAACTGTACCAATGTGAACGTGTGTTCTCCCCACTCCTGGCAATAATCTGATCTCCTGCATCAGGGTCCTGAAAAGGCTCGCTATGCCTCTTCTGAATCTCCTGTTCCAGGGCTTCGACCTGCAACTTTTCCTGTTCTGGTTACTGTTTCAGATCATCCAAATTTTAAAAATTCAAGTCTGGTGTGGTTTCACTTGGTCAGCCACAAGTGAACCAGCTCAAACCAGTTCAAAGCTCGGTATACAAGTCTTCACTAGGAACTCCTGCACCTCACTGTGTGCCCCGCCCTCCAGAACCTGCACATCTTCTCCTGCCCTTGTCACACCGTCTAGTGTCCCTGACACGGCTGAAAGCCCAAAGTCAGGAACCACATCTGTCTCTTTCATGGGTTATGGCCCAGGACCCAGTTTGGTCTCCCGCACAGGGCAGGGTCTCCAGAGCTGCTGCTAGGAGGGAAGGCAGAGGGGAGACGGAGGAAGGGCAGAGGACAGACAGGTCTTCAGGAAGCTTCCCGCCGCCCCACGCACCATGACCTTCCGCAGCTTGTAGTTGCGGGCGCGGATGTCCTGCATGAGCATCTCGAATGGTGTGAGCTGGAACTCTGTGGGCAGTGGGTTGAACTCCTTCTCCTGAACCTTCTTGAGTTTCACTCCGTGGCGAAGCTCCCGCATGAGTTGGACCCAGAGTCTGGCCTGCACAAGGAGGAGGACAATGGCCTCCAGGCCCAGTCAGAGCTCCCACTTCATCCTCAAGCCCAGGACTGGGAGAGGGCTGGGCTTGGCCTGTGTCCAGGCAGGAGGTAACCCCTCTTACCCAGTCTGTGCGCCCCAGGTCATCTAGCTCTGCCAGGGGCTTCTCTGCCTGGGGCTCATCCTCCCGAAACTTCTGCAGCATCTGTAACCACAGGCCATTAGATGGTGGGGGTGCGGACATGAGCCGTGGGTCCCTACCACACCAGCCACCACCCAACCAGCTGACCCTGAATCCACAGCTTTCTGTGGTGCCTTCCCTGGGGCAGGTAGGATAAGAGTAAACATCCAAGGTTCTCCCAGTCTGCTGAAGACGCCTTTTTCCATCTGATGCTCACACATCATTAAGGATTCATCCTCCCTGACCTCAGACACAAACATAGGTCCTCAGCTGGTTTGTGAGAGCCCCCAGGCTCCTCCCACAGGGCTGCCCTCCTGACCCACCTCATCAGCCACGTGGCCACCCTCCCTCCTCACCCAGGGGCTCCAATGGGATTCTTCACTGATCTTTATTAACAGCTTTTTCCCCCATTAGACTAGAGGCTCCATGAGGCCAGGAACCACATACTCTGCTTTTGGTTTTTCTCAATTTTCCATTTATGGCAGCCAGAACAATGTGGCACATACTAGGTGGAGTGAATAACGGCAAGCGTAAATAAATGAATAAATGGGTGATGGATGGATGGGTGGGTTGGGTGAGTGAGCAGATGGATGGGTGGACGGGTGGGTTGGGTGAGGGAGCAGATGGATGGGTAGGCAGGTGGATGGATGGATGGGTGGGTTTGGAGAATGAGTAGATGGATGAGTGGATGGGTGGGTTGGGTGAGCGAGAGGATGGATGAGTGGGTTGGTCAGTGGGTGGGTGACAGGATGAGTGAGTCACTCAGTCAGTCCTGGGAATCAGTCACAAATCTGTACTTGGTGAACTAGGGAAAATGCTGGCACTGGTGTGAAGCCCAAGGAGGGTGTTAGGGAATGTCAGGTAACTGTTCTATAATCTGACATGGCTGTTAGATTCACTGCCTTGGTTGCCTGAGATCTCTCAGATGGCAGAGGCCTCTGTTCTTACCAACTCCCCCACCCTGGAGAAGTATCTACTCTTTAGCACACAGGTCCCCTCCCATCCCAGACTCCCAACCAAGACAGAACCGGTTACCCTGGCTCTTGGCCCAAGCCACTTGCCCATCTGCTTTGAGATATTCTACAAAACACTGCCAACTCTCTGAGCAGCTAGAACGTGTGGATTCTAATAACAGTCCTCAGGTGTGGCCAGGCGGTCCCTCTGGGCAGAGGGTGTGGAGGTGGTGCTCCTTCCCCTGCAGTGCCCACACTGGCCCTCAGCAGGCCGTCTCTGCCCAAAACGCCAGCCCAGGCTAGCCCTCCAACCACCAGTTCCACCAACTCCTCCAACAGCCATTTCTTGAGGTGTAGATTCTTTTGCTCTTTCTAAAGAAAGAGCTGCTATTGCCTGGGTGAGGAACTGATCTGAGCTAAGGGATACAGACTGATTTTGGTGAGAAACTCAAAAGCAATAGGACCATCAGCTCATCAAGAAGCAGAAGAGCATCTCTGAGATGCCGAGGCGGTGGGGACAGGCCTGAGAGGCTCTGAGGGAGTGTCAAGGGCTGCCCAACGTGGGGTGCAGACTGCGTTGCCGATGGGTGCTAAGTGACCCAAGCAGGGTTCTGCCTGCATCCTGGGCTGCAGCCCAGATGCCATCAGCTGGACAGAGCCATCCCCGGGTCAGGCCTCACGGGGTCAGGGAAGGTGGCCAGGAACTGTGAAAGGGTCAGGGTGGAATCAGGGACCAGCATCAGGTAGTTTCCAAATACTTTCTGCCGGCAAAGCTCGAGAAAGCAGAGAAGGTAACCCGGCCTTCTCCGCAGGATCTTTCTCGCCCATGAGACACTGATGGGTGGATGGGGCCTCAAGTCAGCTGGGATGCTGCGACCCCTCCCCGCACCGAAGGGTGGGCTGTTAAGAGGCTAAGTTAAAATGCATAGTGTTAGCACGGTGTGGTCCGGGGCACGGAAGGTGGGCTGCAGCTCACTTAACGCACACAGTAAGTGGCGGGGAGGGTTCCCACGGAGGAATGGAGGCGCAGAAGGCCCCACCCCGTCCCGCCCCCCACGCCCAGCCACCTCACCTCCTTGGCCTCGCGCACACGGGCTAGGAAGGCGCGCAGCTCCAGTGTCTCCAGGAAGAGCGCACGGCACACTGCCTGGTAGTGCGCCTGCGCGCCCCGGGGCTCTGTCAGGCGTGCAGCGCACAGTCGCATGGCCTGCGCAAAGGTGCGCACTGCCCGTGGGGTGCCCTCGGCCTCCTCTTCCTCCTCCGGGCCCCCGTAGCCCTCGTCTGCCCCGCAGCTGCCGTCCTCGCTGTCGCTGTTAGCCATGAGGTCGATGAGCTGTTCTAGCTGCGGGCTGAGCTCGCGCTCCTCGTTCTCGTCCAGGCCCCAGTCCAGCGCGCGGTAGATGGCGAAGCCCAGCGACTGCACCATCTGCAGGGCAGGCGGGCGCTCAGCGGGCAGTCTGAGCACCCACAGGGCAGCACCCAGCTGGTCACCAAGTGTGGACAGGGGGCCCCACAGGGCTGGGGGTCAGCAGGCAGTCAGGGCACCCATAGGGTGGGGCAGAATGTCCAAGTGGGCTGGGGACTCACAGGATGGGAGAGACACAGCAGAGGACCTTCGGGGCCCATCCTGAATCACAGGCTGGGAGGGGAGACCCATTGGACACATCACCACATGAGAATGAGGAGAGAGCTGCACAGCTGGCTATGTGAAACAGACACAGCCACCTGTCCACCTAAGGAACCTCGTGGGACAGCCAAGGACACAGCTTGGCTGAAAGGCTTTGCCCCAGAGGGCTCCAAGCTCAATGCCGTCTAGTCGGCTCCCACTCATAGTGACCCCTCCTTGGGTTTCCCAGGCAGTATCCCTACAAGTAGATTGCCCAATCTTCATTCCAAAGAGTGCTTGTGGGTTTGAACCACCAGCCTTCTGGTTAGCAGTCAAGTGCCTTAGGCACTATGCCACCAGCACTCCCCCAGATGGCTCAGCCACTGTAAAAATCATCTACCATGTGACCCTGTAATCCTACTCCTGAGCTAGAGAAAGACAAGACTTGGCCCCAAAACGCCCTTGACACCAGCCCTAGACACAGCCCAGATGTACTTCCAGGATGAGTGGGTGCTGGGTGCACAGCTGGTCTGTTTTGACAATGGGACACTACACTGGCACGGAACAAACAGTTAGCATGGCCTAGACTCACCCCCACTACACTGCAGTGAGGGAGGTCAGATCAAGCCTTCACTCTGCACAGGCTTCTTTGTGGTTAGTTGCCATCCAGCCCAAATGGGAAGGACCGGGAGCCCAGGATGAGGGAACCTGAGCCTCTTTGGTTAGATGCTGTGGTGGTTATGTTTGTGTGTCAACTCGGCTGGGCCTGGTTGAATGGCTGGGCAGCTGGTGGTAGTTATTCCCCATGATGAGACTGGCAATCAACTCCATGGTGGAATCTATTGGAGCAGCTGAGTAGCTGCTTTGGGTATGTGGTCTGCTTTCCATATATTAGCAGCAGGTTTGGGAATGGTCTCTAGCTTATGGCATGCTTGGACCCTGCATGTAGCTGTGTCAGCAGCTTGCCATGCTCTGCTGACCTTGGGACTTACAATGGACTTAAATTAATGGCCTACCGTGTGGTTTTGGTAACATCGGGACTGTGCCTTTTACTTGTCAACCTTGGGTTTGTCCGCCTCAGCAGCCAGCAGCTGTTTGAGTAAAGAAACGCCTCTAGGTCCAGTGGGCAGGGAGCAGGAAGCAGAGCTGGACCCCAGGGTTGAGGGGCTTTCACCCAGCCCCCAGAGCCTGGCACTTTGAACTTGGACTTAAAGCCTCCAAACTGTGAGAGAATAAACTCCTGTTTGTCAAGGCCATCCCATTTGTGGTATATTTCTGCAGAGTGGCACTAGGTAACCAGAGCAGACACTGAAAGCCAGAGCCGGGCAGGGATGAGGGTTTGAGGACACCAGCCTCCTCTGTTCTCCCTGCTGGGGAAACATTTTAGAAAAAACCTTGGAGGCCCTGGGAATGGGTGGAAGAGTGAGGTGATGGACCAAAGTCCTAGCCCACAGCCAACAAAAGCCCAGCCTTCCTCAAACCAGCAAGTGCACTTATGTCTCCTCTGGGAGGTCAGCAGGTCACCACCCAGCTCTAAGTCACACCCAGGAATCAAGACTCAGGCCAGGCGGCCTGGGTCAGAGGCCATGGTCACTCTACACCCAAAGATTGGCCACCCTGATAGATCACACTTGGGGGGCAGGAGCGACAGCAGGGTCCAGCCGAGCCAGGGTGGAGTACGTGGGCAATGGACCCCTGGAGAACGCCCCTAATGGTCCCTGCCAACAAAGATGGGCTCAGCCTCGGGGAGGGGCATTCATTTGTGGGTCAGGGTTGACACAAGTTCCTATGATTCGTGGCCCAGAGTGAGTGGTGGGAATGTCCCACAGTTCAGTGGTTCTGACCTTGTCACTGTGGAGACTATGCTATTCCACTTCAGTGGAGTCTGAGGACAGAGTAGGAAGGACCTCCAGGGACAAGCCCGCCTCCTCCCTGTACTGCCAGCCTGAGCTGGCGCCGCAGTGACCAAAGGGTTAATCCAATCCCAGCCTCTTATCTGAGGCTCCAGGTGCCCTCTGTCCTCCCTGGAAACTTTCCCTGGAAGGCAGAGAGAGTGCTCTCACAGGAACAAATCTGGGCAGGCAGCCAGAGTCTGGGCACCTGCTGGTCCCACCTTACCCACAGCTGGGCCAGCTGGGACCCCAGGACTGGGGGACACAGGTATGGGAACCTGGGAAGCCAGCGGTCCTGCCAGCCCGGATACCTGCTCCTGCAACTTGGGGGCTCAGGAACAGTCCTGCACTAAAGCTGCAGGTTTCATGAAATCCGGCTTTCAGAAGCTAGATTAAAGTGATAAGTGGTTCTAGCTGGGGATGGGGGTATCAGGTTAATTGATTCACAGGACCCTGAGAGACGCAGTCTCAACTGGACCCCCAGCCCAAGGTTCTCTGTACGTATTTAAAAACTAAATCATCAGGTGTCCTTTAAAAGCTTTGAGGGCGGGAGTGTGGCTGTGCATCTGCCCTGAGACCCTGCACACAGGTCCAGCTGGCCTCACAGCCTGGGATCCAGACTCCAAGAAAAAAAAAAAAGAAAAACATGAAAGAATAGAAAAAGATGTACCATGTGAACACAAATCATCACACCTGTCAACACAAATCCTGGACAAGGAGCTGCTGTGTAAACCTGGGACGTCGGAAAGCTGTGTGGCTATAGACCCACTCCTCGCTCATGGACACCGTTCGGTCCCAAGACCAGTTGTTATATGAACATCAGTATTCTGTGAAGATGGAGGATGACCACATCACCTTGCCCCCTCACCTGTGCTGTGAACATCCTGCCAGGCCCCTGCCAAGCTCATCTGCTATCACTGCTTCCCCTCCCCCACATCAGATCAGGAGAGCTTGGCCCCCCACTGCTGCCCACAGGGGAGGGATGCCCAGTCTTCCAGAGCTGGGGGCCCAAGTGCCACCCCCCGCCTCCTCCCCAAGGTCCCTTTCCTCTCCCGTCCTCATCGCATTTTCAGGATGGGCAACCCCAGCATCTCCCTTCAATGACCCCAAAATACCCCTGTTGGCTTTGTCAGGGACAAGGGGCTCCCTGTCTACAGGTGGGAAGGCTTGGGTGCCATAATGGGGTCGCATGCTTCCTGCTGGGTGCCTCAGCCAGCCCCTGTCCCACACATCCCCCAGCTCTCACTGGGTGGCCCTGTTCCCCTCCACCCCTACATCCCCATAAGAACCAACAATCCAGAGTTTCCTCCAAGGCTATAATGGCCAGTCCTGGCCTGTGCCCTTGATCTTAAACTGCAGCTGCTGCTGGCTAGTCACCTACTGACTCCACCCCTGCCCAGGCTCCTTGCCCCCCTACCTGTGCCCAACCAGGAGGGGCATCGAGGAAATGTAAGGGGTGGGTGCCCGTGCTGACATGGGACCCTGTGGACCCTGAGCACCCACATTCCCTGTCTCAGGGCTCCTACTGACCACAGCCTGGCTGGGCCCTGCCACCCCTCGGGGCTGGGAGCTGGGCCAGACTCCAGGGTCCTGCTTCCTTCCTGGCGCCAAGGGCAGCCCCCCTTCAGGACACTGGCTGCCAGTGCCCCAGCCTCAGCCCCCTGTGGGCACCCAGGATCTGCTGGCCCCTCTCCAACCTCTCTCCCCCTCCCTCCACCGCACACTCTGGCAGCTCCCAGAGACCACACCCCCTCTCCTCTCCCAGGCAGTGAAATACTGTGCGATACAAGCTTCCTTTCTAGCGGCACTCAGGGTTCGCTGGTCAAGGACCTTGGCGTTTGTTACTGCTGGACGTGCACCGTTAATGCACAAAGCACTCAGCAGATTTTTTTTACTTTTATTGTAAATGTGAAATATCAGATAATGAGATAGTCAATAAGTGAGGAATGGGTATATTACTATCAAAGTGTAAAAAAATGAACAGGATTTCATTTGTCCCCAAAACTCCTTGAGGAAGCAGCTGGTCCACTTACCACTGCATCCCCAAACCTAACTCTGAACTCAAGAGAATCATTAATAAAGACTTTTTGACTTAATGAATACTACATGTTGAATTAATGATACACACTTCTATTATTTCAGACTATCAAGTGTATCATTGATTCCTGATGCCTCCAGGCTAGAGTGGGTTGGCTCCCAGGTGTGGTGGGTGCTCACCCCCTTGAGGCACACCTAACCCTGGGCTATAAGTTTAGCCCTGTCCCAGCTGTGCCCTTCACAAAACACTGGCATACTTTATGCCCTTTATAGTACATGTGATCTGCAATACGCAGCAGGTAATTTTGAAAATTACTGTAACAGTACCTGGGCTTCCGAGCTGGCTGGTGACACCACCATTGTTGTGGGTTCTGCAAGAGGAAGAGGAGAGAAACCGTCAAGGTGTGTGCTAAGCCTCCCTGAGACTCCTTACTGATGGCATTGGCCACCCCACTGCCCCTCTCAGGCATGTACAGCAGCAACCCAGAGCCCCTGTGAGAACCCCAGAGAGGCTGCACGTTGGCCAGCAGTTGGACAGACCCTCACTTGGCGTGGTGACCAGGATAACAGATGCAGTCCTTGCCCATAGGGGCTGATGGCCTACTGGTGAAGGCAGCCCCCAGCACGCCACATCAGTCAACAACTACAGTGGCCGTCTTCTGGGGAGGTCAGGGCTGGAGAGCAGCCAACAGGGCCATTGAGTGCAGCCCTGAGGGGGCTTTCCTGGGGAAGCCTTGCAGGCCAGAGTGAGGAAGCTGAGTAGGTGAGGGAGCAGAGACTACAGGAAAGCCCCCAAACCACAGCAAAGTCAGATAAGAACCCTGAAGCTCAGGGGAGGGTGAACTGCTGCAGGATCCCCATCACTGAGCAGGATGAGCCTGTGTGGCTACCAAGCTCTCGACTTCCGGCACCGTGTCAGAGAAGCACACTGAGGAAGAAGTACAAACAGGGCTAACACTTGAGAAGTTCACTTACACAACCTGGTAACAACCCAGTGGTACCTCATTCCAGAGATGAGGAAACAGGGTCCAGAGGGTGAGCCTGTTTGCCCAAGGTCTCCAAGCTTGAGTAAAGCACAGGCCAGAGATCCCAGAATCTGTGCTTCAGGCTGTTCCCCAAGCCATCCCAGATGCCCAGCTGGGTGGGATGCAGCAAGGTCAGTACCTTCTATCCCCTTCCTTGAATTAAACATACACTCAGAACTCAGTTAAGATCTTAATTTCTACCGCCTGGAGTCCTTTCCGGAACAAGATGGGTATAAATAAATCTAAACCCTGAAATTGTCTGCTAAGTGAACCTGCTGACTCTGCAAATATTCCCAGCATGCCATCAAGAATAGGAAGATTGCCAAAGATAAAGGAAGTCTGTGTTGGGCTAACCCATTAAAATAATGGAAAACAATCTACTCCAAGTTAGCAGAGTTCAGAAAAAAAGTGAGCAGCAAGCAGAACTATGGAGGCCCCGGTGTCCCCAGGGCCGGAGTTGTTCCTGGCACTCAGTACACACTGGTAGCTGTGCCTGAATTGAGGCAAAGGGAAGGGGGAGAGATCAGACCTGAACAAATGTGCTCCGAGGGAGAGACCAGCGCCAGGAGACTTTCCGAGAGTGAAGAAGGGGAGGGATGGGAACCGCAGCGGCTGGGGGCTGACCAGCTCTTCGCTGCTTTCTTTGTTTTCCCCTGGTATTGTACATCATTTAACAACATTTTATTATGAGGATGATTATTAATTTGTCCATGGAGGTCCCATACCAATCCTTCTTCTATCTGGGTCGTATATCTGCCTTCACCACTTGGGGGGCCCGTGGCCAGGAACTGCCATGAAGGGGAATAACAATGTTCCAGTCAGAGTAATTTTAACCCTGGAGTCCCTGGCTGAAATGTCCATGTGTTAACAAGACACCTCTGCCAAAATTAGTGTTCATACCCTCGTTCTTTGCTGGTGTGAAATGGTGCCTCTATGAAAACCAGTGTGGCACTTGCTCGGAAAGCTAAACATAGAACCCTATTCCTGAGGATCAGCCTTCAGCCAAATAATAGACAGGGCTACAGAGTGGATAGCGCCACCAGGTAGGAGCATGCTTCTCAGTACAACTGACACATGAGACCAAAAGGGCAGCATTTGCCCAAAACCAACCTCAGAAGCCAAGAAGGGGTGGAAAAGAAGGAACATAGAAATGGGGGACCCAGAGAGGAAGTGGAAGAGTGTTGTCACATTGAGGGGATTACAAGCAGTGTCATGAGCCAAAATGTGTATAAATTGTTGAAAAGAAAATTAATTGCCTCTTTAACTTTCACCCAAATTACAATAAAAAAATGAAAAAAAAAAAAGTTCATTATAGCACCACCATGTTGTTGTTGTTAGGTGCCATCGAGTCAGCTCTGACTCTTAGTGACCCTAGGTACAACAGAACGGGACACTGCCCGGTCCTATGCCAGCCCCATAATCCTTGCTATACCTGAGCCAACTGTGGGAGCCACTGTGTCAATCCATCTCATTGAGGGCCTTCCCCTTTTTCATTGACCCTCCACTTTACCAAGCATGATATCCTTCTCCAGGGAATGATCTCTTCTGACAACATGACGAAAGTAGGTAAGACGAAGTCTGGCCATTCTCACTTCCAAGAAGCATTCCTGCTGCACTTCTTCCAGGACAGATTTGTTAGTTCCTTTAGAAGTCCATGGTACCTTCAGTATTCTTCACCAACACCACAACTCAAAAGCATCAACTCTTCTTCAGTCTTCATTACTCACATGCATATGAACTGAATGAAAATACCATGGCTTGGATTAGGTGCATCTTAATCCTGAAAGAAGACATCTTTGCTCTTCAGCACTTGAAAGAGGTCTTTTGCAGCAGATTTGCCCAATGCAATATGTCATCTGATGTCTTGCCTGGTGCTTCCATTGGTGTTGATTGTGGAACCAAGTAATATCTTGGACAACTTCAATCTTTTCTCCATTTATTGTGATGCTGCTTATTGGTACAGTTGCGAGAATTTTTGTTTTCTTTATGTTGAGATGTAATCCATACTGCAAACTGTAGTCTTTAATCTTCATCAGTAAGTGCTTTAAGTCATCTTCACTTTCAGCAAGCAAAGTTGTGTCGTCTGCATATTGCAGGTTGTTAATGATTCTTCCTCCAATCTCGATGCCATGCTCTTCTTCATATAATCCAGCTTCCTGGATTATTTGCTCAGCATACAGACTGAATAAGTACAGTGAAAGGATACAGCTCTGTCACATTCTCTTCCTGATTTTAAACCATGCAGTATCCCCTTGTTCTGCTCAAATGATAGCCTCCTGGTCTGTAGACAGGTTCCTCATGAGTACAATTAAGTGTTTGGAATTCCTATTTGTCTCAATGTCATCCATAATTTGTTACGATCCACATAATCGAATGCTTTTGCATAGTCAATAAAACACAGGTAAACATCTTTCTGATACTCTTTGCTTTCAGCCAAGATCCATCTAACATTAGCAATGATATCCTTCATTCCACAGCCTCTTCTGAATCCAGTTTGCATTTCTGGAAGTTCTCTGTCAATATCCTGCTGCAACCATTTTTTAATTATCTTCAGCAAGATTTTACTTGAGTGTGATATTAATGATATTGTACAATAATTTCTACATTCTGTGGGTCACCGTTCTTTGAAATGGGTACAAATATGGATCTCTTCCAGTCAGTTGGCCAGGCAGCTGTCTTCCAAATATCTTGGCATAGATGAGTGAGTGCCTCCAGTGTGGCATCCATTTGTTGAACATCCCAGTGGGTATTCTGTCCATTCCTGGAGCCTTGCTTTTTTTCAATTCCTTCAGTGTGGCTTCAACTTCTTCAATACCATTGGTTTTTGATCATATGCCACCTCCTGAAACGGATGCACAGTGATTAGTTCTTTTTGGTACAGTGACTGTGTATTCCTTCCATCTTCTTTTGATGTTTCCTGTATCATTCAATATCTTGCCCATAGAATCTTTCAATATTGCAGCTGGAGGCTTGAATTTTTCCTCAGTTCTTTCAGCTTGAGAAATGCAGAGCATGTTCTTCCCTTTTGGTTTTCGAACTCCAGGTCATTGCACATTTCATTACAGTAATTGGCTCTGTCTGTTCAAGCTGCTCTTTGAAATCTTCTGTTTAGCTCTTTCATCTTGTCATTTCTTCCATTGGCTTTAGCTACTCTTGGTTCAGGGGCAAGTTTCAGAGTCTTTTCTGACATCCATTTTGTTTTTTTCTTCCTTTCCTGTCTTTTTAATGACCTTTTGCTTCTTCATGGATGATGTTTCTGATGTCATCCCACAATTCCTCTGGTTTTCGGTCATTGGTGCTCAATGTATCAAATCTATTCTTTAGATGGTCTCTAAATTCAGGAGGGATATAATCAAGGTCATATTCTGACTCTTGTGGACTTCTCTTAATTGTATTCAGCTTCAACTTGAACTTGCATATGAGCAGTTAGTATACAGTCTGTTCCACAGTCAGCTCCTGGCCTTGTTTTGGCTGAAGATACTGAGCTTCTCCATTGCCTCTTTTCACAGATAGAGCCAATCTTATGCCTGTGTACTACATCTGGTGAAATCCACGTATACAGCTGCCATTTATGTTGTTGAAAAAAGGTATTTGCAATGAATAAGTCATTGGTCTTGCAAAATTCTATCATGTCTATCACCAAAGCCACATTTTCCAACTGCTGGTGATTCTTCTTTGCTTCTAACTTTTGTATTCCAATCACCAGTAATACTCAACACATCTTGATTGTATGTTTGGTCAATTTCAGACTGCAGAAGTTGGTGGAAATCTTCAATTTCCTTGTCTTTGGCTTTGGTGGTTAGTTTGTCAATTTGAATAATAGTAGTCTCTGGTAGCATAGTGGCTAAGGCACTTGACTGCTAACCAGAAGGCTGATGGTTCAAACCCACCAGCCACTCCTCGGAAGGAAGGTTGGGCAATCCTACTTCCGTAGTGATACTGCCTCGGAAACCCAAGGAGGGGTCGCTATGAGTCAGGGCTGACTTGACGGCACATAACAACAACAACAACAACAAGTATTAACTAGTCTTCTTTGTAGGCATATAGATATTATCCTATCACTGATAGCATTGCACTTCAGGATAGATTTTGAAACTTTCTTTGTGACAATGAATGCCACACCATTCCTCTTAAGTTTGTCATTCCTGGCATAGTAGATCATTTGGTTGTCTAATTAAAAATGGCCAAAATCAGTTCATTTCAGCTTACTAATGCTTAGGATATTGATCTTTATGCATTCCATTTCATTTTTGACAACTTCCAATTTCCCTAGATTCATATTCTATACATCCCATGTTCTTATCATTAATGGATGTTTGCAGCTATTTCTTCCCATTTTAG